GTGATACGCATTTTGTACAAATACAAAAAAAGTGGAAAAAAGCTTCTGAAAGATTGAAGAAATTTGGCATAAAACACAGGATTTTACCCATTTTATCCATTTACTGGCATATTTTTTGTTGAACTTACATAACAGGAAGTGATGTCAAAGGTCTTTGAGAGAAAATAGTGTTTCTTTCTGATAGTGTCTCAAAATAATAATTAAAAAAAACTATTTTTACTATCTGTGTTGTTAGCGATGTTCCGACTTTCCCCTTTGTCATCACTTCCTGTTAACGCAAATGTGAATATCTTGACAACTGTTTGTCTCAGCGGCGTAATTTTTTTGTTATGTCTTATGAATAGTATATCTATACAAAAATGCTACTTTTTAATCAGGAAAATTTTACATTGCGGTCACATGTGTTCCATATTTATGCCCTAAATTAAAAAGCAAAGCTTGATTTTATACCATCACAAACACAAACATGACTAATCGATGTTTTTGCACAGCCCTGGTTGATCATTTTAGCACATTTCTAAGTTTGAGCAGCTGTGTTGACCTTTGACCTCTGCAGACAGATTTGACATTTAAAGAAAAGCACAGCTAAAACAACAACCCTGAAAGAACAGAAGTGTTGTGGACATGTGGTAAATGAAAAAAAGGTTTGATCTAAAGCGTGTTTTTTAATGAATACCTGAGATTTGTTATTAGAAACCTACAAAGATGAGTTTGTCGACATATAAACCAACTCAAAGCAGATCTTCGCTCACCTTTCGCTGCCGGCGCTCTCCTGCCTCCACCAGTGTCCTCCTTGGAGATGTTGAGCCTCTGGAGGACATCGGCCAGAGCCATCTTCAGCAGCTGGATTTCCTCTTCCTGCATCTGCATCCTCTGCTCCAGGTAGGTGAGCCGGTCGGCCACATCCACGCCGCTGGCTGCCGAGCTGCGGTCGTCTGGAGGAGGAAGACGTTGATGAGGCAAGTAGAAAAAAAGGGATCTCTGTGGGTTTGTGGGAGTAAATCTGAGAGATTATCTTGTGACGCCTCGCAACCTTTCGTAACTAATGAGACTGTAGTGCTGCTGATACAAAACAGATGAAWCTGAGCATCAGTCAAAGTAAAGCAAAATAACACAACATTCTGTAGATTTACTGACGCAATCAAGCTGGGAAAAAAAAGGTAAAAACATTTTTGTCAACAAGATTAATCCCTGAAATAAAATTAAAAAAATCAACCTAATGAGGTCAAAACACAGCTGGACTCCCGTCATCATCCGGCAGCACAGAAACAAAAACAGAAAACCTCTGTGATTAATTATCATGTTCCTGTTGCTCCGTCTTTTCCTGCCACCAGAACCTAACGGTGGATCGGCGCTGTGGGTACCGTGGGAGCTGCTGGATGCTGAGGAGTTCRTCTTCCTCCTCCTCTTYTCTCGTGAGCAGATCCTTTCGCTCCTCCTCGGGCAACCTTGCTGCTCCCCCTCCATTTCGCCCGAGCCGGGGTCCGCTATGACCTCATCCCTGTCGGCAGACTCACCGACGTTCGTCCAAACGGGGTCAAAGTGGGAAGAACACGAGAGGAGAGGAGAGCGCTCCGTGGTGTCTGTGGTCAGACACACTCAGGGATACCCGGGTGGGTTTACAGAGCTTTAAGCCTTTTTTACTTTGTGTGTGTGTGTGTGTGTGTGTATAAAAGATGGGGGGTGGGGTTGATAATGCTTAAAAACAAGAAGTCACCCAGCTCGGCCTGAATTGTCTCAACACTTGCGTGTGTGTGTGTGTGTGTGTAGAGTACAATGTTAATCCCAATCCCACTGGTAATCTCTCTGACTCCGCCCACACACATAAACCCACATGTCGCTGGACGAGTGGAAACATCAGAGCTAACATTTCACTGTAACACTCAGACAGATCAGAAGCAACAAGAAAATGATTAAAATGATCCTCATTYGAGTAAAAACAGGTGGTTGTAAAGACAGAAATTTATTTGGACTTTTATAATTACAGGTCCTGAAAGTAGGAACAGTAATTATTACATTCACTTAGTTTATCTCCAGGGCAACAGTATCATCTTCAAACAGAGACACTGAAACCCTGGCATTAACTAATGAAAACTGCTCTTTGAACTAAATAGTTTAGTTTTATTTAAAATGATCCGAAAAAAAAAAACCCACTAAAAATGAAAACAGCTAAAGAGAGCGAGGAAGTCCTCTGGATCAGGTCTGGATTGTTTATCTGCAGTTTTTTTTTAATGAAAGCTCACACTGTTAATTTACCGGAAATTTCAGCTCGATTAAAAAAATCCATCATCTTAATGAGTTGGTGCCTGGAACACAGAGATCAGGTGGGTTAGGATGAGCTAAACTTCTTACATTCTGGCAGGATTCTGTCTCAAAAGTTTTAACCTCCTCTTTTTAAAATTTAATTACTTTATTTATTGTTTATGTCAGCAAGAGTAAAGTTTGAACAAATACTGTCCACTAAAACATTTCTAACACAGGCTGATCTGCAGTTCACAGCTGCAGATCAGACTTAAGCAACCAGCTGTTCCAGTTTGAAAGAGTCAGGCTGARGGTTTTATCTGTTCAGCATATTATTGTGTTTTTTTTTAACTAATAAAGAGATGTGAACAAGTCATTTTGTCTAAAGCTGTTATAAGCTGCTGTAAATTGTTATGAGCTTTAAAAAAAGTCCCAATGTTTGAAAATCTGCAAAAGGCGTTTTTTTGAGAACAGCAGTAATGAAAATCTTGGAAAACTGACTCGTGTAAATGTTGTATCCACTCAGCTGCTGGTTTATTATTCCTTAATAACAGTTCTGTTCTCCTGTTTAAGAGAAYGGACTTAAAGAGAATGGACTTAAAATTTATCTGGAGGCCCGCTGCTACTCGGCCCCCAGGTGGGGTGTGCGGCTGGCCGCCGGCGTGCTGGGGGTTCCCGGGGTCTGGGGCTGGGGTGTGTGCCGGCCTGGCCTGGTGACTGCCTGTTGGGGCTCGGGGTCTCTGGGCCTGTCTGGCTTTGGCCTGGAGGGGGTGCGCCCTGGGGGCCCGGACCTCTGTGCCCTTTCCTGGATCTGCTSTGGTATGGCGGGTGCCVGTGGGGCCCATGAGYTTGTCGCTGCTGGCCCCRGGGGCTGTGCGTGTGGTCACTGGAGGGACTCTCCCAGTTCTCCCCTATGGTCTGATCTGGGGGGTGGGTGGGCGGATCTTCCCGTGCGGGTGCCCCTTGGGGCTCTGCGCTCAGGCCCTTGGGCTCTGGTCTTCCCTCTGTCTGCCTCGTGTCTTGGGGGTTGGGTCTCCGGTCCTCCACAGTCACTATTAAATATTCCAGTGGAGAAATCTTGTATATACACGCATGTTCACAACTGCTCACAAACAGGTGTTCTGATCCGGGGGTTCTGACTGGTCTCTGAGTGTGAATATATGTCTATGTGTATATACTGACAATATTTGTGAATGTAGGCCTGTGTGTATGTATATCTTTATATATGTATGGGTATGTGTGTATTTTTATATTTGCCCTCCATGTATTTATCCATTTATTTTTCAGGTGAGCGGACAGATGTTGGGTGTGTGGTCCTGTGTTTTGTTGGTGTATATTTAATATACTTCTAATCGCTATTTCACTCCATCTTTCTAATTACTTCTCTCTCTGTTTTTCTCTCTATTTTCTCTTCACACAAAAAAATCATAATGGTGTGGAGAGGATGGCTATAAGGGGAGAAGGGAGGCCATCCAAAAAGAAAAAAAAACATAATGGTGTGGAGAGGATGGCTATAAGGGGAGAAGGGAGGCCATCCAAAAAATAAAAAATAAAAAAGAGAATGGACTTAAAAACACTGTTAGACCACTGGAATTGCCTGTGTCTGTGTTCATTTGTTTGTCTGTGAGCAAAATATTTCAGGAGCCACTGGACAGATTTGAATGAAACTCTCAGAAATTATTTAATGGATGTGAATCTGCAACTGATTACCTTTTAGAGTGGAACTATTTCAAGATGGCCACCAGTCAGCTGACAGTAGCAAACAAAAAATGTTAGTCAGTTTGACAGATACTGAGCTTACAGCTTGGTGTGGTAGTAGCTGTGCGACAGGTTTCCTTTAGTTTTAGAAAAACTCAGACTTTAGTTGTAAAGGGATGAGAAGATGAAAAATGATCTCAGTTAAGTACAGAACCTAAACTCTGTCAGAAAACTGACATTCTTTACGGAAAACAGAAGAAAAAGCTAGAAAATTTGCATTTTTTGCAAAAATGCAGCATGAGTGCTTAATGCATTGCAGAAAGATTTGTGCAGAAAAAAAAGATTTATACAAATTTGGCAATTTATCATAAAATAGACAAAAATAAGCTAAAACTAGCAAAAAAAGTAGCTAAAAAGTAGTTGAAAATGTTGAATCTAGAACAAAAAAGCAGAAAAAGCATTAAGCTGGAAGTAGCTGACATCACCACAAAAAGAAAAAAATTGTATAGGTCTTCTGGACGGGTTCTTCTCTAATGAAACGTTTCGTCTCTCCTCCAAGAGACTTCTTCAGTCTGAGAGTTTCAGGCAAAATTCAGGCTTTTAAGCACTGCTTCCATGTGACTGATACATCACATGGCTATCGTTGACACCTAATTAACACCTATTGTTGACAGRGGGTGGAGTGATACTGGCAATGGCAGCRCTGTAGGAGGGGGACAAATGAAAACKGAGGCCTCCACCTCTGTTTAATGATGGACGGTCTTTCTTCACATCCATCATTAAACAGAGGTGGAGGCCTCCGTTTTCAGTTGTCCCCCTCCTACAGAGCTGCTATTGCCAGTATCACTCCACCCGGTTAACAATAGGTGTTAATTAGGTGTCAACGATAGCCATGTGATGTATCAGTCACATGGAGGCAGGGCTTAAAAGCCTGAATTTTGCCTGAAACTCTCAGACTGAAGAAGTCTCTTGGAGGAGAGACGAAACGTTTCATTAGAGAAGAACCCGTCCAGAAGACCTATACAATTTTTTTTCTTTGATTTTTTACCTGGATTACTGAGATGCATCARGACATTACCACAAAAGGTGAATTTAGCTGAAAATATCMAAACGTAGCTTAAATTGTAGAAAACAGCTGAATGAAGAAAAAAAAAGAGCCTATGTTAGCCAAAAGAAGCTAATCATGCACAACAAAATTGAAGTAGCAGAGTGGCTAAAGAGAACCGTAAGATATCTGAAAAAGCAGAAAAACAAGCTAAAATTAGCACAAAGAAGGTAAAAAACAAACAGGACAAAATAATTTTATTAGCATTTTAAAGATGTTGAAAACAGCTGCATTTATTGTCAACAAGAACCACAATGGCAATCAATCAATCATTCAATAAATAAATAAATAAATAAATAAGGTTAAATATCTCAAAAAGTTCAAATTGCTGAAGTACCCAAAGTCCCAGCTGGAATGTCATGAAGGAGCTGAAAGTCGTTTTATATGAATTGTTGAAAAGGCACAAAAATTGCGGAACAGGATAATTGCTGAAAATGTAAAAGAAAGAAAAAGAGATAACCTCATTACTGTGAATGTTTTATCAGTCTTCACACAATCATGTTTGACGGTTTCAGGATTTTATTATAGCGTACTGCTCATCATTAAGTTTGTTTTTTTCTTGGTGTTTCTCCTCAGAAACCTGAGTTTCCCTCCCAGCAGTGATAATCTCCTCTCAGCTGGTCCTTTTAGTTGATTTATTTAAGCGTTCAGCCAGCAGCAGTAATCTCACTGACAGGAGTGATTYTGCGTGGGCTTGTGATCTTCTGCCTGCGACTCCGGCCTCGTGCCACCTCCACGCTCTCCATATGGGACTGGGATTAGAATAGCACATAATCCCGGTGGTGGAGGAGAGAATTAGCGAAACCCTGAGAGCTCGGCCTCTGCTGCAGCTCCAGCTACATGAAGCTCCAGCGGGTAGCCTGTGTGCAAACAGGACTCACGTGCAACAAGTCGTGCGCTCGCTCACACACGTGCAGAAGTTTGACCCGAGGGCAGCGGGAGGATCAGGAATGCAAAACCTGTAACTGAATTTTACTAAATAGAAAAAAGAACATTTGGTTTTACGAGTGTTTTAATCTCTGCTTGTAAATTGTGGCACTCATTAGGAATGCACATCGCCTACCTTTAATTTCCCAGATTAAAACTGAGATTAGTCATGCCTTTACAACAACATTCTGCACAATCTCATGTAACACTGCAAGAAGTCACGCTCAGAACACGTGTTCTTATTGACTCTCAGCTACTACTACAGAAAAAATAGCTCAATATTAGCAAAACTGACTGAGTCGGTCACTTTTATGTCAGTTAGCTGTGGCAGCCATCTTGAATTGGATCGACCCCAAAAGTTAATCAGTTGTAGAGGAACATCAAATGATGTCATCCTGAGAGTTTCATCAGCATCCAACCAGTGGTTCATGAGTTATTTTGCTAACAGACAAACAAGGCTGCCTCCTATGAAATATCCTCTCAAGTTTTAAGCAAAAAAATCTGGCACAGTGAGTCAATYTTGGATTATGTGTTGAGAAGGATTCTCAGCTATCATTTCTCCAAATTCTATCTCAATATCTTTAAAACTGACAGAGCTGTAACTATGTTTGTGTTTGTTAAGATTAGTTAGTTGTAACAGACATCTTGAGTTGGGTTGAGTCAAAAAGTTAATCAGTTGCTGGTGAACATCCAGAAATTACCTTCTGAGTGTTTCATCAATGTCTGTCCAGTGGTTCATGAGATATTTTGCTAACAGACAGACCCACAAACTCGGGTGAAAATATTATTGTTCACGTTTTGGAAGAGGCTAACATTTTTAAATAAAGCTGATGAGTCTTTAAGCCCTGATCATTTATGCTTTAGAGCTTTTCTGGAACATCTCTCAATTGTTTTGTGAAAACTCTGAAAACTTTCTCCAGATCTGTATTTTTCTGCTGGTTTTGGATGTTTTAAAACCTGTCAGTCCTCCAATTAGAAACCTTTTTTTTTTAAACGTTTACCTGTCATGAAGTCGGTGTCCGGCACCGACAGCGAGTCGCTCTGAAAGCTCCCCTTCAGCGAGGTCCTCCTCCTCAGGGTCTCCAACATCTCCACGCCGGGGTCCAGCAGCTCCTCCATGACCCTGATGGATGAAGTCCGTCTGATCCGGTGTGGTTTTTACTGAACTTCACCTTCGCCACTCCAGCTTTCCCCTCCCACACCTGATGTCCTGTGAGGTGTGCGTGTGTGTGGAGGGTGATGTCACTCAGAGGACAGATTAGACACACAGTAATCCATCTGAAGCCTCAGAGGGAGGACAAGGAGACTGGGGGAGAATCTGTTTCTCTTCCTGACTCGACAAGTTAAGAAGGGAGGAAAGAAAAAAATTAAAAAGTCCCAAACACTCCGCCGCTGCTTCAGCCGGGAGACGTCTCCTGACCTGTTTGAAGGRAAAAAAAAACACTCCAGACTAAAAAGAAACAGCAGGATGTTGCAGCCGCGTGCAAAAGTTGGGAGACAAGCAATTACAGCGTTCAAAAGTGCTGACATCAGGCTGCCATCCGGTGTGGCTCTGCTGGGCTGCGAGGATGATGCGATCCAGGGATTAGAAGGAGCAGAACTTGATTAATTACAGTCATCAGGAGGACAATAAGCCGGATGTGGTAATTAGAGCAGCAGAGGAAGAAACAGGAGCGGATGAAAAGCTGGTGAGGTGTGTGTGTGTGTGTGTGTGAGACGGCTCTTTGTCTATGATGCAGTTTGTGTTGCTGATTCGTTCTCCAGCAGGTGTGAGGATTTGCTGACCCGCCCAAAGACCTTCTGGCCTCATTTAGGCCCCCCGAAATCTTAAACACAAGACGATGAAGTGACGTAGAGCGCAGCAGTCTGAGGCTCTTTGTTCCACCGCCATCCGGAGCATCTCACTGCTCTTCAAAGTTATATTCATTTAAAAAAATAAAATAAGTTGCGGTACAAGTATTTAACTAAGAGGCTGATGGAGCAGCATCTCAGGCTAAAGGGTGAGAACAGATTTATGATTAGAACATTAATTTAATCTTGTGTGTTGATGTGAGGAAACAGACAAAAGGTCAAAAACAGAAGGACTCTGGGGACAGATGGAGGGCAAAAGGGGGCGGGGTTAAAATGTATTCTTTAAACATATAAACAAGCTATCCTGGACTCTGCATCCAGATCAAACCTTCAAAGAAAAAAACTAGAAATCAGATAATTTGACACTAATCTGAACCGGGCGTCTCACTGCCGCCCTCCTGTGGACGCTGAGCAGCATTACGACTTCCACCTGCCTCCTGTTGGTCACATGACCTGATATTACTCACCACAAAAACTTCAAAGGTTTATCAAATATGGATTAAATCACTTATTAGGGCTCCTAACATAATGTAACAAACATTTTAATCCAACCTAGTGAAACAGTTTGAATAAAAGAGAAAATATGGGGGAAAAAAAAACCACAAACTTTTTTCACAAAGGACTTAAAATTTATAAATAGTCTCTCAAATGGTACATTAAATCAGTTGGGATGATACATGCTTTGAATTAAAATAAAAAGAATCCAACAGATCTTCGGAGAGCATGACAGTGACGATTATCTGATACAAACATTTCTTTCTATCTAAACTGTTAGACCCCCCCCACCAAGCGTTTTTTTTTTTTCTTTAAACATCTGAAAATATATGGCGACAGYAAGCATCAACACAGGCCACAAAGTAAGCAAGGATCTCACAAGTTGCTTGAGGGCTTTTGTTTCGTTTGACTCGAGTCGCAAACGGACGCCTTACGCAGGTTTTTCACGGCGAGCAGAAACTTCCTGTTCATGGGCACTACAAACGATAACGTACAATCTGCTCCAAATTTGTTTTTTTTTTGTTTTTTTTATTGTTGCTGCTGCAAGGCTGGCCAGCACTTCACTGGGAGAATACCGAGGCCTACATGAGCATTTCCAGGAAGTGTTTTCCTCCTCCTCTTCAGCAAAACCAGAGAACTGAGATTGCTTCTGAAAGTTTATGCCCACATGTGATCTTGGCCCTCTGGGAGAAAAGAGCTAATTGATATTCCTGATAACCAGGCGGCAAATTGAGTGCCTTGGAAACGTGTGCTGAACTTTTCCACACTTTGTCACGTTGCAAGGAAAAACTTTAAAGGATGCTGCAAGGACTTTATGTGGAAGAACACAAACTAGTGCAGATGTGTGAAGTTGAAGAAACTGGTTTTAAATACATTTGTTTCTTATTGTAATGAACCAAATGTTTCTTATTATAATCCAGTTTGACCAATTTCCACAAGTCCATCTGTGTTTAATTAAATCTCAGTATAAAAACTGTTATGTGACGCCTCAAGAGGTGTGATAGTGACCAAAAGGCATTAAGAAGACCAAGGACCACACCAGACAGATTAGGGATGTTGAGACACTTACAAAAAAAAGGGTTAATTAAAATAAAACATCCCAAGCTTTAAACATCCTAAAGAGCTTTGTTCACGCAGTGTTCCCACACCTTGGTCAACATCAATTTCAAGGACGTTTCAAGGACTTTCCAGTACCAATTTCCTCAAATTAAAGAACCACGCGCAACGGCAATTACCTACTGCTACCGCAGAATGTTACCAATAAACAGGTTTAATATCATGTAAATTCAATGAAAAACTGAACAGCATAGAAATTGAGTCAAAAACAATGACACCAGTTTACTGTAATCCTGTGT